CATTAACAAAGAAGTCTTTGAAAATGAGGCGTGTCACACATATGCAGCATGAGAATTGGACAGTTCATCTTTTACAAAATAGTTTTATTTAATGATTCTGTTGCTGCATATATGTATATATTTATATATTTATACCTATATACATGTATAGATATTTATACATATGCATCTAATTATGTGTACATATATTGAAAAAAATAGCAAAGTCGTGAAAATATAAGATCTTTTATTTGATTAAATCATATGTTCAGGTCTATGTTACTTTTGCCTCCTCAGATTAAATCTAATCACTTCAATCTCCTGTGTTTACACTTATGTTAAGATAAAGGTTCCCCACACGTTACAATCCAATGTTAAGCTGGCTCCATGTCCTTGTTTTCCATCATTACAGCTGGAAGATAAACTCACTGCTGAGAAATTATTAGAGTGGACGAGCTCACAGAATATGTGGAAGAGTCAAGTGGATTTACACTTACCTCGATTCAAAGTGGAAGAGAGCTATGACCTCAAGGACATACTGGAAGCCCTGGGGGTGGTGGACGTCTTCAGTTCACGGGATGCCGACCTCTCGGGCATGACCGGGGAACACAGCCTGGTGGTGTCTAAAGCCGTGCACAAGTCCTTTGTGGAGGTGAATGAGGAGGGCACTGAGGCCGCAGCGGCCACAGGCATCAGTACAGCTTTTACATCAGCATCAATACCACATTTTGAACGTTTCCATTGTGATCACCCTTTCCTGTTCTTCATCAGACACAACAAGACCAACAGCATCCTCTTCTTAGGCAGACTCACTTCCCCTTAGATGTGGTTACCGTTGCACGGCCCTAGGGGCACATGCACAGAGTCCTTCTGATACACTGATTGCTGGAAGCAACAGGTTCTCCTTGATGTGTTTCCCTTTCTAACCTCATGGTCATCACTAAGAATCTAACCTTTGAAATAACATTTCTCTCTGTCTCTCTCTTTCTACAATCACATGTTGGCCTACTTTATTTCCCAGTGATAATTTCTCTTCAGAAAATGTCCAAAATGAGATACAAGTATATTTCAACACTTTATCTTCATCTAAATTTGAAACATCGTATCTGTTATCTCAAAAAATTATAGCTACTATTCAAACCTATTCACCTAGACACCCATATTTCTTTGAATTTTGGTGATATCTGGGACACTTACCTGTCCTCATCTCTTGGTTTTATGAAATAAATTATCAATAAAACAATGACTTATTCATATCATTTGTTGCTTTTCTTCTTTTTTCTTTTCAACAACGTGCAAGCACCTACCAAACATAGAAAAGATAATTTAGAAATATATGACTGCATTTTTAAACATACAAAGGTAATAGAGCATGATGACCCAGAAGAGGGAAGCCAGTACCAGAACGTGAATGGCTCTGTAACCCGTGTCCAGAACTTAAACATGAGTCTAGAACTCAGAGACTGGATATAAACTGAATCTCTAAAGATGTGAGGCTGATGATATGATTAGAGTTACCGAGAGAAATATGGTCATTGTAGCTAAAGGCAAGGATGGCATCACACTGGAAAGGAGAAAGTGAAAAGAAAGGAGGACCAAGACAGGACCATGAAGTACATCAAGATATAAATGTCAAGTATTGCCAGGTTTTATTTTCTAGAACATAGCTTTTTAAGAAACGTCAGGAAGAATCTTTTAGAGTTGACAGGTATGTTAATGACATAGATTGGGGTGATGGTTTCATAGATGTATACACATCTCAAAACTCATTAAGTTGTACACATCAGTTAGGTAGAACAAATTCCATATCAATCATTTATCAATAAAGCTATGTTTTAATGGAAAGTAATAAAAAGAAATGCATTCTATGCCTAAAAAATAAAAATAATATAAATTTATAAGGGATAGAATGCTTATGTGCTACAAAGTACCACCCCACAGAATAGCACCTCATTCCCATTGGACTGACCAAAGCTGAGATTAAAACACTCTTAATACTCTCTGTGGAAAGAATGTGGATCAACCACAACTCTCATGCGCTGCCTGTGGGCATACAAAAGCTGCAACCACTTTGGAAAGCATCTTGCAATTTTATTTTTTCCATCATATTTAGATAAAATTGACCTACAATTTTGAGTAAGTTTTAAGGGCACTACGTATTGATTAGATATACTTAGGTACTGCAAAATGATCCAGCCATAGCTTTAATTAAGTCCTCTATTATATCACAACGTTATCATCTCCTTTTTGTGAGCTGTTTTTGATCAAGGACGGCTAATTGTTGATCTCTGAAGGGGAATGGAGGCTGAGGTCTCCTACGTGGCAATTTCGGTGATGTCACTCCAGATATCTTTAAATCTCTATGGCAGAGCAACACACTTGTAGACAAAGTGTTCCTCAACTGTACACAGAGACATGTGTTGGTACTTTCTTATAAAATTAAAGGTGTACTTGCCGATAGATCCAATAATTCCACGCCTTGATTTTACACTAGAGCTCTGAATACACAAGTCACAAACGGACTGTATGAAAATGTTCATTGATGCCTTATCTGTAACTGTCAAAACCTGGGAAAAACTCAAGTTTGTGTCAGCAGGTGAGCTGTAATGCAAACAAAAGAGGGGCACTTGGTGGTAAAAAGAAGAAACTACTGATCCTGCAGAAACATGGATAAAAGCACAGCACTGTGCTGTGCAAAACAGGACCTGGACAGAGAGAGCACATGTCCTGTGATTCCACCTATACGGTGCCCTGAACAAGCAAAACGAAAGTGTGGTGACAGAAAGCTGCTTGGCGGTTCCCGAGGCTGGACTAGGGGAAGAAACTGATTGTTCAAAACTCCAAAGGAAATTTTGGAGTGAGATGAATGCTCTACAACTTGATTGGATGATGGTCACAGTGGTTTGCATTTGTCCACAGTCATCACACTGCACTCTTATAACGTGTGGATTTTACTTTATGTAAATGGTACCTCAATAAATTTGATGAAGAATGAGATAGAGGAGGAGATTTGAACAAAGCACCCATAGTAGGTATTGCCTCAGAATTATTTCTGGTGTAGGGAAGCGCTTCATAATTAAAGCTGTTTTTAAGATACCCCCTATTTAGGAAAACAATTTTCAAGGTGCATTAGGTATACTTCCATTTGATGTCATTTAATTTTATTTTATTTTAAAAAATTTTTTAAGTTTTTTTTATTGAGGTGTGGTTGATTTACAATGTTACTTTCAGGTGTACAGCAAAGAGATTCAGGTACACATATACATGCAAATTCATTTCTTCTTTTCACACTCTTTTCCATTATATGTTATTATAAGAAATTGAATATAGTTCCCTGTACTACACTGTAGGTCCTTGTTGCTTATCTTTTTTATATATAATAGTGTGTATCTGTTCATCCTAAGCTCCTACTCTATCCCTTCCCCACACTTTCCCCTTTGGTAACCATGATTTGTTTTCTATGTCCATGAGTTTGGTTTTGATTAGTAAATAAAATTTGTATCATTTCGTAAAAATTCCACATACAAGCCATATCATATGATATTTCTCTTTCTCTGTCTGACTTACTTCACTAAGTATGATATATGATAAACTCTAGGTCCATCCATGTTGCTACAAATGGCATTATTGCATTCTTTTTTATAGCTGAGTAATATTGCATGCATCTCACTTCATTTTAAATGGTGTGTACTCAAAAGCAGTGATTCAATAAATCTTCAATTTAAAATTCATCCTAATTCATAAAAGATAATAACTCAGAAATGGCTTTTGTGTGTGTGGAGTTGAGGGTGGGAGTGGAGGATCTGTACACTAGTATACTCTGGGACTTGAACCTTGCTTGTCACTGTATACAATGGGAAAGTCAAATATTGTCTTACTGTTTTGATGAAACTGGTTGTGATCTTGTGGTTTGGGGGCTCCCAGAGTCTGCAGAACACACAAGAAGAATCCTTTGCACAGAAGGGAATGCTGGAAATGTCTACTGGATTAGGACTTCAGAAAGTATATATTGAACTTAAGCAGAAAGTGAGCCATTAAAATATTGAGAAAGAAGCCACATTCCAGAGGGTGAAGAAGGAGAAATATGGAGTCTAGACACTGAAAAATTTGAAGGATTAAAGAAGTATATATACAGGGAGTGGCTGGAGAGACGGACTTTGCTTGCTTAAGAATGAGAGAGAATGTCAATGTGTTGACACCAGGAGGCGCCCCCCCCGCCCCGAGACACAGAGGCTCATTCAGGAAAGGTGTGTAATTACTGTTCCTGAGGAAATGGATGTGGTAATACAAAGAGAGAAGGAAGTGTTACAGGTTACAGGGCACAGAGTCTGAAGTTTAGAGGATGATGGGAAGATGAAGAAGTTTCAAAATGATACTCATTTTTTCTTTAATGAAACATGAAGAAAAGACACCAAGTGAAAATGATCAGGCTATGGGATGAGTAGAGAATTTAAGAAAGGAAAGCAAGTTTACAGAAGCTTTGAGGGAAATGCAGACAGGAGCTGACTCAAGATAATAGAAAGTTTGGGGAACACTGTTGGGAGAACAGCTTAAATCAGTAATCATGGCCCGTGTGTGTGTGTGTGTGTGTGTGTGTGTGTCTGTGTGTCTGTGTGTGTGTGTCAAAATAGACATAAAGTGAAATTTACCATTTAAATCATGTCTACACCAACAGTCAAGTGGCATTAAGTACATACATTGTTGTGTGGCTGCCACCAGTATGGTGGCTCCTCAAACTGGTTCCCAGAATAGTTGCACCATTCCCACCAGCAATTCTCAAGTGTTCCATGATCTTCACGTCCTTGTGACACTGTGAGCT